TTTTAGCCTAAACGTTGGGAAAAGGGAATTTTTTTGACAGAGAGTGCCAATGGTAGTGAAGGTCGCGTTTTTTTGGTGATTTTGGAGGAAAAAATCCAAGTTGTTTCGTGTGTATCTCCGGTCCAATTTAATGTTTCGTGCTCGTTTAGGCATGCTTTGTTAGACATTTGCCAACTCTATCCGTTGATTATCAAAGACATCCTCTGGCGTGAACAGTGATGACGTCACAAGTGGTACAAGTCTGTGGTCTCTTCTTGGCCGTTTATGGCCGCTTTAGTAGTCAATGTGTTAAATACTTTTAATTAAAAGTTGACAGGATAACTCTAATATATGGTAGTCATTTTAGATTTAAACACCCTAAGAGGTACAAAAACCATAACTCGGAAAGGTATGACGATCCCCCGTCACTTACCCCCCAGCATTTTGTCGCCGGTACCCATTTATACTCCTGGGTGGAGAGAGGCAATGTGAGAGTAAAGTGTCTTGCCCAAGAATACAACACAGTGACCCGGTGCAGCCAGGGTTCAAACTCGGACCGCTCGATCCGGAGTCCGTCCAACACGCCAACCATTTGGCCACTGCGTCTCCCACTATATTTTATTTTATTTACTGAATGACATTACTTTCAATTAGGTATTTGATGTTGGGAGTGGGCGGTAGTTTCAAGTTGTTATCTGCGGTGGCTTTTTTCTTCGCATGGAAATTTTACGAGCTGCCTGTTACGCAGTGTCATTTAAATGGCGATTCAAACCCTGACGCCGCATCCCAGTTGACAATCATGGACGGCAATGCACCCAAGGAAAACAATGTGGAGGAGACAGAGCTGATTCCAGTTGCGCAGTTTATTACAGTTTCTGATTCTCCTGATGAAAGGTCACAGTCTGGCAAGGAGGAATCAAGAATAACCAATGTGTAGAGTATAATAATTAATAATTAATTAATTAGTTATTATTAATAATAATTATTATAATTATGTTTACATTGTGTTGTTCCAGAAAATATCCTTACCCCGCCATGGAAGGGTTTTGGTCAACCTCATCCCCAGGGCCATCTCCGCTTTCAAGATGGCGGGTGGGCGCGAAGAAGACCATGGCAAACAGCAGGTCACGTGTCTCCCAAAATATTGGAGATTTTGATTGTTTCAAAATGGCGGCGGGCTCGCGATTGGCTAATTTTGTGGTCACGTGACCTTGCTGTTCGTCAGGGTCTTCTTTGCGCCCATCCTCCATCTTGAAAGTGGAGATGGCCCTGGGGACAAGGGCTGGGTTTTGGTTTGAAACCCTCCTCCCCACTCTCACCCCTCTGGAAATTCCAGTTTAGTAACATACATTACTTTAAAATGTTTCAATGGCTTTTGAGAGTCCGTCCACCTCAGAATTTCCAATGACCTTACTTGGGGACATGGTATTTCATGGAAAGTCTACACATTTTACTTAACATGAAGGTGCAAGTTATGAAAAATTATGGGACTAATGGCTCCATCTACTTAATGCATTTTACAGTTCATTTCGCTTTCATGTGCAAAATATAAATAAGATGTCGCAGAAAGTAGGGGAAGCCAAGTCTCTTTACTGTACTGTGCTCCTTTGTGTTAAACATGTTGATTATTAGTTTGTATACATTAATCTTGTGGGGTTTAAAAAATGTATCATATATAATTAAATAATATCCACAAGCCTGGTCGCTAAGAGGCCAGAAAAATGTAAATATTTAGGGTTGCAGAGTACATGACGTAATTCATTAGTTGCTAGTACAATTTGAAACATACGTTGATCAATATAATATAGTGTAACCCAATGGCTATTTAATATTTACGCTGTTAATTATTGATGCAATGTGATCTTTTACAGTCGAAGCTCTCTGAGCGGACACTCTCGTAAGCGGACAGCTCTACTTACAGCCGCCTTGACAAAACCCTGTTTGAACTCTACTAGCTCATACAAACTCTATATTTACACATTCCCGTAAGCAGTCACCTCCAGTTGGGGACACTTTTTCTGCTTCCCAAGGGTGTCCGCTTATGGGAGCTGCGACTGTATTTGACTTTTTGATGTATGTAACATTTTCAGTACAAATTTGACTCTGAGTGGTAGATAATTTATTGAATTATGAGTAGTGACCCTATTGGGTGGAATGGCAGAACAACAGAGCGATGGAATGGTAGAATATCGGAATATCCCCCCAAATTCTGAATGGTGGAATAAGGGGTAGCCTCCTACGCAGACTTTCTTTGGGCTCGTCACGCAATCTAGATTGCATGACGAGCCCAAAGTAAGTCTGCGAGAAGACTAAATAAGGGGTGGCGAATGGTAAATTCGAGACTTTGTGAGACGGCGAGACTAGCGTTTTTCTCTGTGAGACCGAGACTTTTTGAATTTTAAATTGTGAGACCGAATTGAGACTATGAAATGCCTTTGCGAAAAAAAGGAGACTGCGAGACATACAGAACCGCTCAAAAAACGAGACTGCGAGACCTGTGAAAGTCGACTAAAATTTTGCGAGACCTGTAATTTTTGAAAGACCGTTCACCACCCCTGGAATAGGGTCATTCAACACAACAAAAATTCACCGTATGATTAAATTCAATATTTGAATGTGCATATTACATTCAAATGCAGGTATATTCAGATGTGCATTAAAAAGTAGCTTGAAATGCCAATTTGTTAAAGTTTTCTTTTTGTTCAAGCACTTTCAAATATCAGTTTATATTTTAATTTCCCTAGAAGTGATTGACCAATAAATAAATAGAGGTTATTCAGCGGAAAGTTGTGTAATACGGCTGGGTATTTTACGAGTCAGTTTTTATTTTTTCGAGCCTTTCGAGCCTTTAGGCGAGAAAAAAATAAACACTGACGAGTAAAAATGCCCAGCCGTATTACACAACTTTCCGCTGAATAAATTGTTTATTATACGACATATCTTTCCTAAAATATAGGCTTTCAACAGTGTTTTCCATAGCGCGCGGTCAGGGGACTGAGACCCGTGTAATACGGTCTCATATCTGCTCTTGTCTTTGTGCGTATTCGCACTCTAAAATTCCATGTCGTATAATAATAATTAATATTTTGCATCATCATCTAGATTATTTTTGTAAATCATTAATTTTGTAAGTGTATCATAAATAATTTTTAAATTAATTACAGCTAAGACTCCCACTATCTTGGCCTGTGTCACATCCGTCATCTCCCCCCTCAAATATTTTTTTGAGGGGAGGAGGCGGATGTACACAGGCTACAACTATCTCAAACTCTCAAGGGGAACGAAAAACAGTTTGAGATAGCGAAGAGTTCGAGATAGCAAAGAGTTCGATATAGCCAATAGTAAATGACTGAAAACAAAGGCAAGGGGAATGGGTTTGAGTTCGAGATAGCAGGGTTTTCTAGATAACCGAGTTCGAATTAGCGGGAGTCTACTGTATCACCAATTTTGATTTTGGTGATAATTAATTTAAAAAACTATTTTTCAGACCAATATTATTATTTTTTGGTTGCATAATTACTAAATAATTAATATATAGTTATGGAGACAGTGCAGGTTACTGACCTCCATGTTTTTGTCGTAGCTATGTCACTCAGTTGCATAATTATGATGTCACATGTCAGTCGCCATTTACAGAGCTCTCTTATTGTCTGTACAGTCCTACTGATCAAGGACTACCCTATAGCTAGTGGGGAGGGGAGTGGTTTACATTCTGTTATTTAAGAAATAGAAAATGGTGTATTAATTCCACAGCCTGATGCAAACAGGAAGAATTCAAAATGTAACATATTAAAGGGAGTGTTTCACGGTTCGGCTTCAGTCAACTTTATCCGTTAAAACCCCCACTCACATGTACTTCTCGATACTTCAGTAATCACATACTATAATAAGAAAAACGACGAATAACTAAAATTCATAAACAATTTCAACGGATTACACCAAGAATGTCGACATTTGAACACCAGAATAAATTACCAGAATAAATCCTTCGGGCCAACACTTTATTCTGGTAATTTATTCTGGCATTCAATGTCGACAATTCTCGGTGTTATGCGTTGAAATTATTTGTGTATTTTTGGTCATTCGTCGTTTTGCTTGGACTAATTATAGTATGTGATTATTGAAGTATCGAGAAGTACATGTGAGTGTGGGTTTTAAATGGATAAACTTGATAAGCCTGAACAGCGCTGAACCATGAAACACTCCCTTTAAGCACTATCAGATTTTCCCAAACTTTCTCAAGTGTTTGCATCAGGCTAATGTAAACAAGAAGCAGCCGTTTTCTATTTCTTAGATAACATTAAAAAGCCAACAAAATGTGACAATAATGTAAAACCATAACCTTGTTTACATAGCCCATGCAAACGACTACATAGCCAATCAGGAGTCATACATTTCAGTAGCCTCATTATTCAAGCGGGTAAAATACCTTTAGTGGGACTAACAGCCAATGGCTTATCACCATTATTATCTAGTACCTACATTGCAAGCATTATCACTGCACAGTGTTACCTTGAAAATAATAAAGAATCACATCTTGTTTTATCAAGTTTTAATTATCATCAGTTTTGTGCTTGTCCATTACTTTGCCATTCTAACTATTTAAACTGATCTCCCAGTAGGCAAGTGAAGTCTTCACAAGCCTAGTGACCCATAACTTTTGGAGCTTATCCCAGTTTCCATAGCATGAAGCTGACGGTACCCACTTAAGGCCTGTTTACACAGGCGATTTTTGTTGCACTCTCCGATGCAACTTTTGTCGCGTTTGAGCTCGCGATGAAAATCACAAGTGTAAACTAGTGGCGATTTCATTGCAGACCTTTGCAATATCGCGGCGACAAATCGCACCCAAATCGCCGCTAGTTTACACTTGCAAATCGCGAGCTCGAGCGCGACAAAAGTTGCATTGTATAGCGCGACAACAATCGCATCAAAAATCGCCTGTGTAAATGGGCCTTTATACTTCTAGGTGGAGAGAGGCACTGCAAGAGTTAAATGTCTTGCCCAAGAACACAACACAATGACCCTGACCAGGGCTCGAACTCGGACCACTAGATCCAGAGTCCAACACGCTAACCATTAGGCCACCGCGTCTCACACTGAGATAAAATGAAGAGTAAATTGAAGACAAACCCAAGCCTGCCATAAATGACATTTATTAGCAATATTCAACAATTACAACTAAGAAACTTGTACCAACACTGTTGCTTCACTCATTTGCACAAATTAATAAATTAATGTTTTTTTTTTTTTTAATATTTAGTTTACAACATTTGGTTCTCCACCTTGCCACGCAGTAGTGCCGGCACAAAGTGATCTTAGATCCAATTATAGAATGATGGCTTGGAGCACAGTAAACAATGGATAATAAAAATGGCTGTTCTTATTAATAATAAGTATTGAATGTAACGTTTTAATTTGCCATCTTACTTCTCAAACTCATTAACCCTTTCACTCCCAGAGTCAAACCTCAAGTCAATAAATGCGGTTCTAACTTTTGAGTCTGTGGATGAAACCCTGGTGTGTGACCAATCAAACAAAAGCTATTGAGCAGTACTTTCAAGATAATTTCCTCAGTTTTGAACTTAGCACTCTTGGGAATGAAAGGGTTAATAAATAATTATTATTAATCAAATTAACGCAAAGGAAATCATTACTGTGAGAGAGGTTTGGATATCTGATCTTAATAAGCAAATATTTTTATGATTAATTTTATTCCCCAGTATATATTTGTTTTGATTGAGAAGATAATAAATTCTATCAAACACTCAAGATAGTGTTTCATCCGATTTCCAACACCTTAAATTTCGTCAAAAATACTCCGCTGTGTGCACATCGTATTTTAAAGGGTCCCTCTCAACCAGTGTGCTTGCGCGCCAATACTCTTACGGCGGCCATTTTCGGTGCCGCGAAAATGGTGGCTTGAAGTTAAAACTACATTTTGCAGGATTCTGGCCTTGTTCTGGCCACAAAAGCAGTTAGACAACCCAAGTTAGTACAATTTCGAAAGTATGGCATACATTAGCCCACGAGAGATCGAGTTCTGCGGATGAAAACAATAACACGCGACCGCAAAGCACACTGTTGAGAGGGACCCTTTAAACTCTCTTCTTGGTGCTTGAAACACACTCTCATGTTTGATGTACTACATTAAGCCAGTCAGTCAGTAAGACTTTCGATCCAATACAAGTTCATTCTGGCTTCCCATTAAGGACGGACCATTTTATTTTTGAGGAGGGGGTTGGGCAAATATTGCTCAAAAATACTGCAGAACTTTTGCAGAGGAAGTTCTTAACAGCAAAACAAAGCAAAGAAATACCTTGCAAATTAGTGAAAGAAAATTGATGCAAAGCATTTAGTTGCGAAAAAATGTAAGGTGGAAAAATTCCCCACCCCCACCCCAAAATAAAATATAATGGTCCATAGATATGGGCCTCACCAAGTGATTTGTCAGGTCAGGTAGCCAAACCTTATCAGGTTTTGATACAAGACCTGCTTCTTATCTGTAACAATGTGTAAGAAGGAACTTTAACCCAACCTGTGATCAGGCTAATTTTACAGCGCTCCCATTTACCGTACTCTTCGTCTCTACATGGTCGCACGAAAAATTACTCCTGAACAATTCCTCTATGCAATGCCTTCTGCCCATTTTTCATGATGGATTGACATGAGATAAGGAACACAAAAAATTAGCCTGATCGCAGGTTAGTTAGCCTAGTTAACCATATTAAGGTACAGTTTATATATTAATTTTTGAAGACCAGATGGAAGCAAGAAAAATAATAATAACGTCCTGACTTGCACATTTGTTTTTCTTAGAGAACTGCTTTTAAAATACGATTTCCATCAAAACCATTGAATCCCTTTATCTGGAATTAAAAACATTGAACCAAGACATAAAATAATGCTTTGCAACTGTTATCTAAAGCCTGGTTTCCATATGATCGCAACGATCGCTGTCGCAACGATCGCAAGAGTGGTTTCCATATGATTGCAACGATCGCAAGTGGTTTCCATATGATCGCAACGATCGCAAGAGTGGTTTCCATATGATCGCAACGATCGCTGTGATCATTGCGACTGCGATCGTTGTGATCATATGGAAACCAGGCTTAAACAAACACTGCAAGAGTTAGTAGTACCTAGCAAGTGGCTACACTACTACTATCAGTCTAAGGACCACCGTTTTAACAGGGGTACACTGGCCGCCACAAATGCGGCCAAATAATGATGATGATGATGACAGTGGGGGAGATGTTTACATTTAAAGACCACCAATCAGATCAAACTAACCTTAAAACCTAATTGATCAGCATTTTAACAACTTCTCAAGTATCAACACAAAGGTAAGCACACATGTTAGCAGAATAAAGGAACTGGTCACCTTGGAGGCATAGTCGTGACTTGATGTACACAAAAATTCTCTCAACTTCAAACATAAGAAATGTATGGAGACCAGTAAGGAGAATTTGTATGTTGACAGACATCAGGGCTTAAAGGGTTAGAGAAGGGGGAAGGAGGGTATAAAAATACCAATTCCTTCATTCTGCTGTAATAGGCCAATTTTGATATACAGTCATCGACATACAGTCGAAGCTCCCGTAAGCGGACACCCTCGGGAAGCAGAAAAAATGTCCGCAACTGGAGCTGGCCACTTACAGGAAAGTGGAAATACAGAGTTTGTATGAGCTAGAGTTCAAACAGGGTTTTGTCAAGGTAAGGGATGGACCATTAGAAAAGTGATGGGGCAAAAGCAACAAAAAAAATTTTCCCAGTAAATTATTAAGAAAAAAAAATATTCCACGCATTATCGCAAAAAAAAAAATCTGCCCAAGGACAATGAGGTTTCACCAATTAAAAATATATATATTCCAGCCATCGAGTGAAAAAAAAAAAGATTTCCACCTTAGGTGTACAAAAAATTTTTTCTTGCATCTCCCAAAATCCCCACCCCCCCATCACTTTTCTAATGGTCCATCCCTAAGTAAACCTGTCTGCTTACGAGAGTGTCCACTCAGAGAGCTTTGACTGTCCATGTACATTGAATCGAAATTGGCCTATTGCATACTGTATTTTTACTACTTTTTTTTATGAAAGTGCTCACTAAACTCTACAAGTTTCTACTTTTAAATATTATATGAACCCCAAATCAAAAACTGCAGGACAACCAGTTAAATAAGTCATTCATTAGTACCATCCATCCCTTAACTTTCTCGGCATTTCGTCTGGAATTAGTGTTGTTATTGTTAATCTTTGTTTGGTTGGTTTTCCCGTCCTTCGTCACTTGTGGAGACATCATTAGTGACAGATGGTTGTGTTTTAATACCTCCTGCAAAATGGATTCAAGAAAAAAGAGTTTAAAATTAAAACTACACGTGATGTAAAAAGGTGAGGTAAAGTCTTCACAAGCCTAGTGGCCCACAACTGTCGCAGCTTATCCCGGTTTCTGTAGCATGAAGCGATTAGGAGTATTGCTACTCCCATGGATGGGATGCCAGTCCATCACAGGTTAACCCCCAGCATTTTGTCACCGGTACCCATTTATACTCTTGGGTGGAGAGGCACTGTGAGAGTAAAGTGTCTTTCCCAAGGACACAACACAGTGACCCCGGCCAGGGCTCAAACCCAGACTGCTCAACCCGGAGCCTAACGCACTAACCATTCGGCCACTGCGTCTCTCACAGTTTCCATAGTACTTTAACTATTATAAAACAGAATGACTGCATCCACAGTTTACCTTGCAATGTAACTTGACTTTCCTCAAAAGATTTGTGTTTGTTAGTGCGATCCAAGCCCAACTGTAGTAATGGCTTCAGAGCATTACTAGCTGCTTCCTCGCGCGAGGCTTCCACGGTCACACCTGACCCATAACATGTGAGAGGGGGAATGGATGACACTGTTACAAGAGTGAGAAACTCTCTCTCCTGGAATGAAGAGAACAACAATGATTCAGTAAGTTCATTACCAGAAAGCCCTATAGGTTGGCCTGGACCTCAGTTAACTTTAAAACAGCACGACAACAAGAGCGTCAATCTGAAAGAGCCAGCCTAACAACTCAGTGGAGCATTAGCTTGGGTGCAGTGAAAATAGCAGTTATTACAGTTGAGCCCGCAGTCAAATATTCTTTTGTTTTTAAAAAGTATGCAAACGAGTTAGGCTCAATTTCCGCCGCTCTCTCAAGTCCGGTCTTCGTTCTGGCTCATTTTCCTGAACAGTGGCTGGTAATCTGAGCCAACAAATGAGGCTAATGGACCAATACAATGACAGATTGACCCTTTCGCCTTGTTTGCATGTCAAACGGCAAACAATACCAGATTGACCTTTCACCTCGTTTGCATGTCAAACCGCTGACCGTCTGTAATAACTGCTATGTTTCCCATCTTGCCTGAAGGGCAAGTGTGAACTAGGATGTACATGTACTAATCAGAAACTCTTTGAACTTAGCCCTGTTAATGATTATGGTAAACACATTTGTAAACTCTGGTGTTCAAAACCCAAACAAAATGGATCAAAATCTATCAATCACAACCCACAGACGTGACCTTTTGAACCCGTTGAAGTGTCAGAACTTCTGTTTCCTGAGATGTACACTAAGATGATTGACGGCAGCGAAAAACACAACCGTTGATTGAGCAGACTTCGCATGCTATTGAAAGGCGCAGTAAGTATTTTATATATTTAACCCTTTCACTCCCAGAATCATGAAGCATTGAGTCAATTATTGTGTTTCTAACTGTGTTTCTAAACCCTAGTGTGTGACCATTCAAATGAAAGCTACTGAGCAATACTTTCATGTGGTACTGTTTGTTTTTCCATATCATGCAAAATTAAATTTGAGATTTTTTTCAATTTTGAGCTTTTACACTCTTGGGAGTGAAAGGGTTAAAACAGGGCTGGTTCTAACCTTGGGATAATCAGTGAATTGAACTCTAAATCCTTCAACTTCAGCCAGATGTAGGAGCTTCTGAACAGGCGTTAGATGTTTCCCGCTGGGTGTCATCTTGACCACAGGGGCACCAGGGGCTCGGTTTAGCCCACCTTGTAGAACAGGCTCCTGAGGAATGGAAAACAGAAAACTACATGTTGCAGAATAT